AGACCCAGAAGAGGCTCCTGGCTTCGGATCGGCATAGCATCGACCGTTGTGCTCACTTGGGGAGTGAATCATCGGACGGAAGATCTTCCTCTCTCTCTCTCCTCTCTGTATATCCACCTTTCCAATAAAAAATAATAATAATAAAAATAAATCTTTAAAAAAAATGATGAGTATGATGGGTGTCACTGTAATAGTGTTTATGTGGGTAATCAGAAATTACACCACACAGCTAGTAACCTGGGTTAGTGAATGACCTGAATTCAAACTCTGATTTTTAACTTCATATTATACTGAACTACCAAAGCACCACACAGAAACAAGTGGGTTTCCAAAGAGCAGAATGAGGGTTTTCCTTTTATTAGCAGAGATGGCTGGAATACAGTTCTTGTCTTCCGGCAAGAAAGAATCAGACATGAGACAGAAAGCGATGGTCAGCAAGGTAGCAAGGTTCAAGGGAACAGGCCATCAGGCAGAGTGGGTGGGCCCTTCTCTAGACAGAATCTGCAAGACAGTGCCCAGTGCCTCAGACCGGGTAAGCTAGCTGGGAGAACACATGTGACATCCCATGCGGGCATCTCAGTGAAGACCTGGGAGCTGAGGGCTGCAGCCTGAAATGCACCTGACAGCCCAGACAGGCGTCTCAGGAAACAGCTGACCACACAGTCTGCATTCAGACTGGGACTGTTAGGGCATTTTGGTCCATTTCTTCCCCCACCCCCTTCTCTTGGATAAAGGGTTTGCTGGACACAAAACAGGGAAAATTCCTCCCTGTTGTCTGATCTATCCAGTGTAGTCAGACCAGGCAGCCCTCTTAATGCTGCTGGGCAGAGAGGATTCTGCTGGGGCACCTTCCTTGGTGGCACCTGAGACCACCTATAAAGTTATTGGGGTGTAGGCAGGACTTAGCAGTGTGAAACTGGGGTGCTTCCAAGGTTGCCAGAGGATGCCACATTCTCTTTTGTTTTCCTTCTGCCTCTTTCGCATCATCTTCCTCCCCAGTACTTATACAAAGTGCTAGTGGCTGAGAACAGGGCACTTCATCTGCAGCTTCTACAGGAATCTCACAATGCTATGCAAAACGTTACGAACAATATAAAATATAGCTCCCTTCTCCTACTGCAAGGACCTAAGAGTGGAAGGAAACTGTTCTGGAACACACTGAGTCTGTGTTCACTGATGCTTCTCAGGCCCTGAAGCAGCATCTGGCTCATAGAAAGCAATGAAGACAGCTTTGTGGACTGAAAAGAAATCCAAACAGGAAAGCTCCATGAGAAACTTAAAGCCCACCAACAAAAGCCCAAATTCTCAAGGATTTCACAGGGGTGAAGGACGATCAATAGAGTCAGACATCACTTTTAAGAGAACTGGATGTCAGCACAGACAACGTCACAAGAGCATGTGCCAAGGGATTTAGATATGTTTAGTCTGAAAAACAGAAGACAAACACTAGAGGTTATTGTTGAACCTGGGATAAAACTGTCAACTGGAATAGAAAACATTTTTTAAAAGTTTTTTTTAATTTAATTTCTCTGGCACAATCTTCTTGCAGTCCTTTGAGGCCCAAGTGGAGTAAGAAGTGAACACACAGGCTGAAGCGCAAAAAAAAAAAAAAAACCATGAGACAGGGGTCACAATAGACTGCTGGTGTGTGTACCAGCAACGGCCAAAGGAATGGAAGTGAGAGATGTCAGATGTCCGCACTGGTACAGGCAGCTGGACTGTCTGTGGCCGTCTCCAACTGTCTCTCAGAGGACCTGAAACTCCCATGACCACTGGATCATTGAAGCGACCTTCGAGACCCCACCTTACTGACACAACACAGTCCCAGACGACCTGTGGCCCTGGGCTGTGACATTTGGTTCTAGTTTTCTTCCCATTGTGGCATATGTACAATAAGCCATCTCCTCTGCTGTACATGTCAAAGAATAAAAATAACTAACTAAATCCAGAGGTTGTAAATAAGACCAGTTGGTGAAATGATAGCAAAACGATTTTTTATTTACCAAAAAGGAGCAGTTTAACAATTAGAGATTTCTCTAAGTTCCTTTAGCATAAAAACACAGCTCTACATGAGAGATAACATCAATACTATTTTTAACAGAAGATGAAAAAAATTATTAGCAATACTTGTGTTTATTGTATATCATACAACTTTAAAACAAATGTTGTAAAAGCCATGAAAACAATAAACTCTTAGGAGAGCTGAGAGCTCACAGTAGAATACTGATTTTCTAATACTCAATTTAGCAATTTTTCCATTTTCCCTCTACATTCTGTTGTAACTTCCATATATAGAAGACTACTTAGTCTAGGAATCATAATTACTTACACACACATTCAAACACACATATGAGCATATATGTCAAGTTACCATGCTGTACACATCACACAAACATACACACCTTTGCTAGGAACCACAGCCTCACTGAAACAAGAGCTGACTCCTTTAGTAAATAAACACAATTCCATTAATTAAATTCTTAGGTTTACATAGCATCTGTAGAGTTGATGAACTGTTGCAGTTCAGGTGGGATGTCTTTCTTGCTCTTTGCCCATCACATCATACTTTATCTAAATTACATGATTTGCATCAGTAAAAGAACAACAACAAAATGAGCCTAGAATAAAAGCAAATCTGAATTGAAATCTAGATTTCAATTTAATATGAAGAACCTCCATTAATATAACAAAAAATATTTTTTCCTATTCTCTTTTTATAGCTTGTTTTTAATTCTAAATGACAGTGATTCTATTATTTCTATCAAGAGTTGGAAGCACTTGCACCTGGCTGGCTCCTTCTTGGTCTCCAGCAGTCATGCTGCTGGACTGGGGCATGTCCAAGGGTAAAGCGCAGAGTAAAGCAAAGACCTTCCTGTCAAGTTCCTCTTAGCTCATGGTATATGGAGATGGATAAGTGCTGATTATTTATTAAACTCAGTAAGTTTTAGACAACTTGCATGTCACAGCAGTATGTCATTAACTTCAAGAACAGGATATGAATGGACTGTTTCTCTTACATTTCACACTGAGCCATCTTTGCACTTTTCTATGACCAAAATCTCCACTGATGGGCCCTGGTGGATATGGACCTGGTACCTGCTTGTCAGTCACCCTCATATAGGTGCAGGAATAAAGCCAAGCCCCTCACCCTAAAGCCTTTGGTGGCAGTTTCTCTGTTCAGAGGAGCTCATTAACTGAAGAGAGCTGAACCCAAGCCCTATACAGTGGCTCGAATACAGGTGCTGGACACCACCAGGTCCCACACAGAAATTAACTCAGTGAACTGGGCATACACTGTTGTTGGCTTCAGAGGTCCTTCATCACCAGCCCTACAACACTCTCATTACCCAACCCACAAGGTCATTTGCTTCCCCAATAAATGACACCTTTACATTAGATCTTGTCTCAAACCTTCAGCAAAAAGTAACTGGCTCAGACTGACTGGAGCCCACGTTGGCATCATCAAAATTCCCTACAGGGTACAATACTGCTGACCAATTCAAAGATGGCCAGGAGCACACAGGTCAACCAGAAACTTTGCACAGGAATAAACTCTCATCCCCAAGTGCAATCTCTAAATGCCTTCCCCCTAACTCCCTGCGACAGCTGCCCGTTTCTTACTCTGTGCTTTGTAATAAACTCATTTCTCATATGACTCCAATATCAGCAACTCATTTTCTGCACACTGACTGGGTAAACCCAGTTAGTGGCATTCTGTAGCCACTACTCCGACCAGGTTTGGGAATGTTCTAGAGTAACACAAAGGTAAGAGACTCTGAATCCTTAAAGACTTGAAGTGTGCTTGACATTATCTCAATGCTGGCTTCTATTCTCCAAGCTTTTGTAGAACGCTTGGGCCCTGATCAAAGAAATGAATCTTCAATCCATCCTCAGACCCAGAAAGACTGGAACCCACCATTGCTGTTCCAAAGAAACACACCAGCCTCTACCACTGTCCAATCCCAGAAAGGCCACACACTGTGGACCAACCAGAAGTCCATATCGCACTGATCACACAGTGCTCATTCCAACTAGGAACATCAGATTCCCTTGAAGAGTCTGAGAATTGAGCATTAGCTGCGTCACAACACACACCTGCCATTTTTCCACCAACCCAGTATCAATGGCTAACTTCTTGCCACTCAGCCAAGCAGATTTGGTTTTGGGGGTTCTGTAGCAACTTCTCCACATCTGCCTTTCTTTACAGCTTCCAGATCAACAGACAAGGTGAATGACTTAATGGGAAGTTTCCAATGAGAGGGTCTCCTGTAAAGTGGGGTGAAGGGATGATGAAGCTGCTTTTGGCTCTCCCTGTTTCAAACACCACTGCTTCCCCCAAAAGACTCAGCCAGTTTGAAAGGGATCCAGCATCTGGTGCCACCTGGCAGAAGCTGGCACGAAGCTGTGAGTTCCATGACCCCATCCATACCAGCTACAATTCATTGCCTTTTCTCCAAGCAGAAAACAAATCTCTTGGGGAGGTGCATGGCCAGACTCTCCACTGCCGGCGGGGGTTTGGAGGGTGGTCACTGCTTGGGGAAAGGAGCCTAGATCCCACAATGCTGGACTGAGTCAACACTGATGCAGCCAGCCATTCCTCTCCTTCCTTCCATTAGAACAGGCAACCATGAGGGCAGGAAGCACGAGGCTGATGACTTTCTCAACACCTCTGAAGAGACAGCAAGGCTGCCTCCCCAGCAGCCAACATACAAACGCTTTACTGCTTAAAATCACAGCAAAGAAGAGACAAGTATACTGCAGAACAAGCTGGCAGTTCACTACAAAGGCAGGAAAAACACCACAGCATCAGAGTGATGGCATCTTGCTTTCCAATACTATTCCCTCTCGTGGAGTGAAAGCCAAAGTCCTACCGCCGCCTCTGGGGAGTGGATGGATCTGATTTGTACGCCACCACACACACACACACACACACACACACACACACACACACACACACACACACACACCTCTCATCAGGGCAGTGGCCCCTCTCTGCTCACCTCCTTTAGGTCCTGCATGACGGCCGTGAGCCTCTCATTCTCAGCCTGCACGTTAGTGGCCACAGTTCGGCTCTGCTTGAGTTCGTTCTGCATCTCCAGGATCTTGCCCAGGTAGTAGGCCTCCTTGGATGCTGACTCCTGCAGCAGCGTCTCCTCCCGCGTCTCCCCATCCTCAGCAACCTTCCGGTGGATAGAGAAGGAATGTCCAAATGCCTGTGGAGTTTGAGAAGCAGAAAAGTGTGTGACAAAATATTCCATAGTCCTACGAGGCAGAGCATAGTTCTGTACGTAAAAAAGCGATCCTGAAAGACTTCCATAACAAAAAATCTCTATGTATTTTATTTACATAACAGTCTAGCAGCTCTAATTTATGTCTGAAATAATTCAAAGCTGATTAACAATCAGAAAGATATCTTTTTAATATTTTGCAAAAGATGTAATGAATTCAAGAAAACTCCCAAAGCATTCTGTTTGCTTTATGTTAGCTCTGTTTAGACAAACCTACTAGGAAACAGAGTACCCAGAGCTACTAAACCCATCAAAATTCACATCATCATCTTTATTATAGGAACAAGATACCAAAAATACTTTGTCAGAAAGAAAATAGGAGTTTTATTTTGCTTTTGAATATGTGAACAAGAACTGGCAAATCAGCTCTGGACCAGGATCAGAAAACCACTGGACAGCGTTTGTGATGCCCCGTGTCACAGAGAGACGATGCAGCATCATCTCTGCAGAAGAGAACACATGTGTGAGCTTATCTGTACAAGAGGATACACGGGAAAATAAATTCGACACTCCTGAAACGGGTTGGTTACCTAGTGGGGTGGCTGGGAATAGGTTAGCAAAATACAGGCGTGAATAGTGGTTGGAGGAATGAAGGACAGAGACGGCTTTCTGAGTATGCCCTTTGCCTTCCCATAAAGCTGTTATTCTCAGAACCAGTCAGGTGTCAGAGAAACAATCATCAGGATCAACTCAGGATGGGTGCTGGCCCAGGATTTAAGGACAGATGCCTTGCATGCTGCATAGGTGGTGACAATCTTCGACCCAGATCTGGAATTCTCTTTCAGGGAACCCCTTGAGACAATACCTGCTGCCAACATGTTACCTACTGAGAAAGCAAACAACCTCCTGAGTCCAGCAGTCACAATCCTGTAGAGCTGACCATCACACTCTCTCAGCTCCATGAGTGAAGAGAAGAGAGCGTGACCAGGAAATGGGCCCTGCCAGGATCCAGCATTCACATCCAAGGCCTACACTGGACCCTCAGTTTCAGCTAGGATGCCCCATGTCCTGAATATAGAATTTTACACTATTGGTTGATTATAATGGTCACATACAGCTGAATGGCGCTATTGTGGACAGAGTAGGGGTGAAGAGCAGCACAGGTATGGGGAGATGACAGCCCAAGATGCCCTAGGGACTGTGTGGCCTGGAACCTGGCCTTTTCCTGGGGGAGCAACTAGAATTTAAATGTCACTAAGAAAGCGTGACAGCACTGCCAGTCCTGTGAGTCTTGACCCCCGTACTTGAGGGCTCCAGTGAGTAACTACTATTTATTAGGCTGCACCTAGTAGAAAGGAAAGGATGGGCAAACAGTCTGAACCTTTAGCAAATGTCCCTAAGGAACCAATTGACCTTCTGGAAGATAAAACAAAGATCATTTGACCAATTACCTCTTTGCTGCCAGGAAATTCAGCATTAAAAGCTCAAGAGCAGTAACTAAAATATCTGAAGTTCTGGTGACCTAGGGCACCCCAGCATACAAGTTGGGAACCACAGGTCTGGGATAGGGTGTGCTGCATGGGCTTCTGCCACACTTGGGCTGAGATTCTAGCACACAGCACAGTTGTGGCCACAGCTCTGCAGTGTGAGCTGGAAGCTGATAGGCCGGGCAGCACACACATCTCTCCAGGGCAGCTGTTCCAATCACATGGCCACACGAACATCTTATAGGTCCCAAGGTGCAACAACCCCATCACAGATGGTAGATCTGCAAAGTTCTGTCAGTCTGAAATACCATCACCTGGTGGTTTGTTCCCCTTTTGCTCTTTGTTTTAGGAAGTTAGACATTTTACTTTACTTGGCAGGCACAGAGAGAAATGTCTCATTCACTGAATTCACTCCCAAATGCCTGCAACAGTCAAGGGCTGGCCAGGCCAAAGCCAGGAATTGGGAACTTTATCTGGACCTGCCACATCAGGGGTAGATACTCAAACAGTTGAACCTGCTGCCTCCCAGGGCATGCATTAGCTGGAGGCTGAAACCCAGAACTCCAGCCACGGATGCAGACTTCCCAAATACCCAGCCCATCACCTGCTGCTTCCCATCTGCCTGGCCCTGATTCCCCAGAATGTGAAGCATCCTTGTCTTGGCATTAACCATTCACTTCTCCACTTGTGAGAGTGGCGCTTCCATTTCCAGCTTCCCTGTTGATCTCCCTGTGTGGTGCAGCAGTCCCACGGGAGGTAAGCATTTCCCTAGCCATCAGGGCGTTGCACAAAATGATCTTGCTTCGCCTCTTGTGGAAGATTTGGACCGGAAGTCTATTCAATGTGCTGAATATGTATACAGCCATCCCTCTGGTGTTTTAGTTACCATATGCGTGGGATAACATTTACCATCCTTTAATGTTTACTCTATGTGTGTTCCAAAGACAGAGGCGAGTTTCTTGGAGGCAGCATAACTAGGATTTACTCTTGTCATTCTGTTGTTTTCTGATTGTTTTGTTGTTCCTTCCTTTTTAAAGATGATTTATTTATCCATCTGAAAGGCAGATGACGGGGAAGTAATCTTCCCTCTGCTGGTTCACTCCCCAAAAAGCTACCAAGGCCAGGGTTGGGTCAGAATGACACCAGGAGCCAAGACCTCCATTTCTGTCTCCCACATGATTGGAGGCATCCAAGCATTTGAGTCATCTTTTACTGCTTTTCCAAGTGCATTCACAGGAAACTAGATTTGGAGCAGAGCAACTTTGGTTCTTTACACAAATGCCCACAACAGCAAGGCCTGGATCAGCCTGAAGTCAAGAGCCAGAAACTGCATCTAGGTCCCCTCACGGACGGCTGGGAGCCAGCTTCCTGGGCATCATCTGCCGCCTCTGAGGCACACGCCAGCAGGAAGCTGAATCAGAAGCAGAGCTGGGACTCAATGTCAGGTGCTTCTCCATGGATGCAGGTGTCCCAGGAAGTGGCTTGATCCATCACACCACAACACCTTCCCCAACAATACTGTTTTGCGCTTTTTAAAAAATATATATTTAGTTATTTTTATTGGAAAGTCAGATACACAAAGAAGAGGAAAAAAGACAGAGATAAATATCTTCCTTCTGCTGGTTCACTCCCTAAGTGGCCGCAACAGCGGGAACTGCGCTGATCTGAAGCCAGGAGCCAGGAGCTTCTTCTAGGTCTCCCACACAGGTGCAGGGTCCCAAGGTCTTGGGCCATCCTTGATTGCTTCCCCAGGCCACAAGCAGGGAACTGGATGGGAAGTGGGGCTAGAGGGACACGAACCAGCACCCCTCTGGGATTCCGGCACTGTGTGTGCAATACAAGGACTTTAGCCACTAGGCTACCACACTGGGCCTGCTTTGAGCTTTTTTGTAGTGGAATGCTTTACTTTCTTTTTCTATCTTTCAGGTTGCCACTAAAAATATTTTCTTTGTGGTTTCAAGGGTCTTACATAAAACAGCTATGACATTCCATTTTAGGTTGGTAACCTCAACCATATACCAAAAACTTCATTTCTACTTTCCCCTCAGTTTTTACCAAGGATGTCACATTTCAATCTTTTCCTATCATGTATCATTAACATGGTACATGTAAAGTTTTTTCTTCTACTATACTAGAATTAAACTATGTCTCCACAGTATGAATGTACATGGCTACCCTTCAGATGTGATTTATCTCCCAACCTACGGCACACTTCTCCTTGATCTTCCTTTACATCTCATCCCATCTCTTAGAACTGCATTTATTTCAATACTGACATGATAGGAGCAGGGCATAGACGAAGGGAGGAGGAGAGGAAATAAAGAGAACATAGAAGACAGGTACTAGTGGCTGAGGCTCAGGGGAAGGTGAAACTGTTTGGCATGTTATTTCTTCACTTTTTAAAACTAAGAGCCCAAGTATGTACCTTTTTTTTTTTAGGCCACATCATAGGTCCCACTCAAAAAATGGCTTTGTAAAGATAGTGGACTCAATACTCTGAGAGTCTTCCTCAGGGATGTTTCTCTTTCGAGGTACATTCTGAGCTCTAACCCCACACCTTGACAAGCTGCCTTAAAAGCATGGCTGAATTTCCTCCAGTAAAATCACAACCTTAAGAACAGAGGATGCCTTTCAGGCTTCATAATGAAATAAAAACTATAAACATGACAACGAATCCATGCAGCCTTCATCAAGATGAAAGGAAGGTGTGCTGGCATGGTGGTGTAGCAAGCTGATCCTCTGCCTATTGCACCAGCATCCCAAACGGGTGCCAGTAAATGTCCCAGCAGCTCTATTTCTCTTCCACTCCACTTCCTTTCCAGCTCCCTGCTAAGGCCCAAAGTCCTGTGGCCCCTACACCTACATAGGAGACCAAGAAGAAGTTCCAAGTTCCTGGCTTCAGATCAGATCAAATCAGATTGGATAAGATCATTCTGGCCATTGCGGCCATCTGGGGAGTGAATCAGCAGATGGAAGATTTCTCTCACTATTTCTCTCTGTTCCACTATTTCTCCTTATCTCCACAAATTAGCCTTTCAAATAAAAGTAAATAAACCCTTGAAAATAAAAGAAATGGAGAACCTATAAGTAATGGTTCTTAGGGAGAAATTTTTGTTGTTGTTGCTAAAGATTTATTTATTGGAAAGGTAGATTTACAGAAAAAAAGGAGAGACAGAAAGATCTTCCATCTGCTGGTTCACTCCCCAAGTGGCTACAACAGCTGGAGCTGAGCTGATCCAAAGCCAGGAGCCAGGAGCTTCTTCTGGGTTTCCCAGGCAGATGCAGGGTCTCAAGGTATTGGGCTGTCCTCTACTATCTTCCCAGGCCAAAGGCAGGGAGTTGGATGGGAAGTGAAGCAGCCACGACACAAACTGATGCCCACATAGAATCCTGGTGTATGCAAGGCAAGGATTTAGCCTCTAAGCTATAATGCTAGTCCTAGGGAGAAATTTTGAAAATATTAATTTTGATGCAGGATGTCTAAGAATTCAAGGTGCA